AGGGACAAATGAGAAACCCGGTCTTATTGATTTGTTTGATATCGCATACAGAAATAGAAAAGGATGGTCCTCTCGTCTTGCTGAAGAAAGGCATGTAAGTCATGCATATCAAGCAAATTTGTCAATAAAAAATATTTTAAGTTGAGAGCTTATACTATGGTACAAATTTTATATCTTGCAGCAAGAAATGATTAATTTGAAAAATCAACCTATTTCTGAAAATGAGCCACCAATGTCTGAGGTTGAGATAGTTGAACAAGTTTGCCAAAAAAAGTCTGGTTATATCTGTGAGAAACCTCGTGGAGTCAGACCTCCATCTCGAAGGCAATATATTAGGGGAACCAATGGCAGCAATGATAGACAAATGGAGAGCATCGTTGCTGAGCAAAAGTCACAACTGGAGGCTGCACATTCTAAAATTGAGGAACATCAAGCTCAACTTCGGCACCTACAAGAGTCAATAGATTGGTTGATGGCAGAAGTGAAAAACAAGACTGTAGCTAATGCCAATAGCTAATTTTATAAATTAGCAAGGTAAGATATTCTAAATTTTGAATCCTGATTAGTAGCTAAAATATCTAGTTGCATCATCATTGTTTCAAACAATTTAGTTTGTGATGTCACCAATTTGTGCTTCTGTGTGATGATGTTAGTACGAATCTCAATTAATATGAATGCATAGAGTCAGTCCTCTGTTATTTCTAGTAATACACTATGACAAAATGTTGAATGGATGTGATGCAAGTTATATGTGATTTTGGAAAGCAATATATGGGTAGCCAAATACATGGGAAGTTTTAGTGCTAAGAAATGCAATTGAGGCACAATGGTTTTAGTAAAAAATTTCATTATGTTTGGAAAATCTCTTACATTAAATTTTTGTTTTGCAGGTTTATTTTGGAGATTTTGGATGGAAATAAGCTGTGCAATCTAGAAGGAGCCACTTGAGCTTGAATTGTTTTTGTAGTTTGGCTTGTTTTGGATGTGGTAGATGATAAAATATTTTTGAAGCTAGGCTTATTTTTGTTTAAAAGGTGTAATGGTATGTGTTTTCCTTGCTCTATGTGGCAATTTGTCTTCTTGACAAAAGTCCTGTAATTCAATTCTAAAAATGCTTGTAGTTAATTTTTTGCTTGAATTTAGCTTGTTAATATGTGATTTTTCTGGTGCAGGTTAACATTGTGAATTTAGAAATAGGTTGCAATCTGGAAGGCACTATGAAAGTGTTTAAAATGTTTAGGTGGCTTGTTTGGGATGTAATAGGTGACAAGACCTTTTGGAAGCTCAAGTTTGTTTTAAATGGTGGTTATTTTGGAAAGGCACAATTGCTGTTCATGTATTTTTGAAGTAATGACTTCAACTTTTGGTCATGCATAGGTGCTGAATTATGATTAAATGTCACATGTCCCTTTTTCCATCCTAGTTTATGCTTATTGCTTTTTTAGTTTCAATTTTGCATTTTTTTTATTTTTTATTAATCCGTGTAATGAAAGTGGGAAAGTCTAACAATATGTAATACAATTGCCCAAGATTTTTGGAACTTAGAGAATCATATAGACCAAATACATTAAATCAAGCGTATTTATGGGTTTTGAATTTTATATCTACTAGCCAAACAATGTAGGCATGGAAAAAGTGTTACACATGGCTCATTAGCTTTCACAACTCTGTCAAAGAACTTCAAATTTCATGAAACGGTTGTTATGTACTTCCTTTGTCCGTAGTTGTTATCATATTTTTACTTTATTGATGTTCCAAAATAAGAGTCGCTATTTCAAATTAAATACATACTTTTTAATTTTGCCATTTGAAAAAGTTTTTTTTTATAATTTTGATACACTTCTATTAAAACAATATTTTGAATTCAAAGGATAGATGTGTAATTCATCAATGCCACCTCATCTAAACATAATGATTGTCATATCTCCATATAAATTTGGATTCCCAAAAAATGACTCTAATATTAAGATTGAGGGAGTACTTTAGAATCTTGTCACTTAACATGGAAACAAGGGGAAATGATATCACAAGTAATATTGAAAAATTAATTAATCTATATATGCATTGGTATTTGACAAAATTGGAATATAGTTCAAAGTCACATTTATTATTTTGGTCTCAAAACAATAAAAATGGAGTTGTTTACAATGATTAATACTCAATGAAACTTCTAAAGTACTTTATTTCAATCAATTTTGTAATTAAGGAGAGATTAAGCCTATTACACAAGACTTTTTTCTTAATAAATAAATTACATACTTTCGTAACAATTCAAGAATCAATTGATAGGCACTGTGAAGCGCTTGTTACACGAAATTCTTTTTATAAACTATGATTAAAATTTCATCATAAAAATATGAGTTTAGAAGAATAACACATATAATTTAAAGTCACATTTGATATGTTGGTATTAGAATAATAAAAATGGAGCGGTTTACAATTATTAATACTCAATGAAACTTCCAAAGTACATTATTTCAATCAATTTTGTATTTGACTAGAGATTAAACCCATTACACTAGACTTTTTTCTTAATAAATGAATTACATACTTTTAAAACAATTCAAGAATAAATGGATAGGCATTGTGAAGCACTTGTTACACGAAATTCTTTATTAGAAACTGCGATTAAAATTTCATCATAGAAATATGAGTTTAGCAAAATAACACATATAGTTTAAAGTCACATTTGTTATGTTTGTATTAGAATAATAAAAATGGAGCAGTTTACGATTATTAATACTCAATGAAACTTCCAAAGTACATTATTTCGATCAATTCTGTAATTGATGAGAGATTAAACCTATTACACAAGACTTTTTTCTTAATTAATGCATTACATACTTTTGTAACAATTCAAGAATAAATGGACAGGCATTGTGAAGCACTTGTTACACGAAATTCTTTTTATAAACTACAATTAAAATTTCATCATAGAAATATGAGTTTAGCAAAATAACACATATAGTTCAAAGTCACATTTGTTATGTTGGCATTAGAATAATAAAAATGGAGTGGTTTACAATTATTAATAGGGATAATTGCAGAAACCTCCCCCGAGGTTTCTGACATTTGCACTAACCTCTCCTGTGGTTTGAAAAATTACACTGACCTCCCCTGAGGTTACTAATCCTTTGCAAATTTAGTCCAAATGATTAAAATATTATTTTAGGGAGTGAAATTAGAAATTTGTGCCAGATTTGCCCTTTGTGCTACATATCCAATGAACGACAAAGTAATATAAATCAATTAACAATTAATAAACTTTAAGAAGTATAATTTATGGGCAAACACATATTACTCATTTAAAGTACCGGTTCTTTATGGGTATTTTACTTTCAAATATTTAATTTATGATAAATATATCAATATTCGTAAGTAAAATTCAAAAATTGTTATAATAATATTCTTGCAAAAAGGAAATCGATAGGTTATTTATTTAATATAAATTAAATAATTTTTTTTAAAAATGGCCCATAAAGTATTAATTTTTTATGACTTTCATCCATTACACGAGTAAAGTATTCACTCTTTTTGTCCATTTTATTCTGAATCATTTAATTTATGTTAAATATATAAATGTTTGTAACTAAAATCGAAAAAGTGCTATATTAATATTTTTACGGAAGAGAGATTGGTAGGTTTTGTATTTAACAAAAATTAAATATTTGAAAGTAAATACAAATCTATATTTGAGCGTAAATATTTGTATTAAATTAAATGTTTGAAAGTAAAATATCCTTAAAGAACCGGTACTTTAAATAGTTACCGGCTCTTTATAGGCAAACACGTATTATTCATTTAAAGTACCGGCTTTTTACAGATATTTTACTTTCAAACATTTAATTTATGATAAATATATCAATGTTTGTAAGTAAAATTCAAAAAGTGTTACAGTAATATTCTTGCAAAAAGGAAATCGGTAGATTATTTATTTAATATAAATTAAATATTTTTTTAAAAAAAGAAATGGCCCATAAAGTATTAATACATTATGGCTTTCATCCATTACATGAGTAAAGTATTGGCTCTTTATGGGTATTTTATTCTGAATCATTTAATTTATGTTAAATACATAAATGTTTGTAACTAAAATTGAAAAAGTATTATATTAATATTTTTACGGAAGAGAGATTGGTAGTTTTTGTATTTAACAAAAATTAAATATTTGAAAGTAAATACAAATATGTATTTGAGTATAAATATTTGTATTAAATTAAATATTTGAAAGTAAAATACCCATAAAGAGCCGGTACTTTAAATAGGTAATGCGTATTTGCCTATAAACTATATTCCTTAAAGTTTATTAATTGTTAGTTAATTTGTAGTATTTTGTCATTCATTGGACATGTAGCACAAATGACAAATTTGGTAAAAAATTCTAATTTCACTCCCTAAACCAATATTTTAATCGTTTGGACTGAATTTGCAAAGGATTAGTAACCTTAGGGGAGGTCAATGTAATTTTTCAAACCATAGGGGAGATCAGTGCAAATGTCAGAAACCTCAGGGGAGGTTTCTGCAATTATCCCTTATTAATACTCAATGAAACTTCTAAAGTACATTATCTTAATCAATTTTTTAATTGAGAAGAGGTTAAGCCTATTACACAAGACTTTTTTTTCTTAATAAAAGAATTACATACTTTTATAACAATTCAAAAAAATGGATAGGCAACATAAAGCACTTGTTACATGAAATTCTTTTTATAAATTATGATCAAAAGTTCATCATAGAAATATGAGTTTAGCAAAATAACACATAGTTCAAAGTCACAATACAAATAGATTTAAAAGTTGAGGAACTAGAATTACAAGTAATTTACTATAATTTCATAGATTATAGTACGTCCATATCAACTTTATTCTTTATCCTCGCATTTAAAACTTTAGAACAATTAAATTAAATCATCTAATTATTAACATTTATAAGTGTTTTATACACTTACTTGAAAAAAAATACTCATATATGAAATGCATAAGAATTTTTGAATTATGCATATGGACATGTATTAGCACAAATATAATATAAATATTTATTGACTAGCACACTTGAAGGCATTCCTCTCATGCTATTTTATGCGTAGTTAAGTTCTTTGAAGTTTAGAAAAAATATAAGAGTGAGGAATAATTTCAAGAAATGGCAATTACATATCATACAACAAACCTCCATTTGAAAATTAAATGCAAATTTAAATTTAGTTAATTTGATTTGCTATATATTGAGAATATTTTCATTAGTTTCATTTTCTCATACATGATCTCTTTCTATTTTTATATACTTCTAACACTCAATATTCATTCTATATAATATACTCCAATTCTCCAATTCTTAGAAACTTTTAACTACAACACTTAAACATCATGAATGTTTCAGAATTTAGGACACGCGCGCTTTATTCCCTCCAAGAATTTTATTTTTCCCGGAACGTCCTTCCGGCAAAATTTGAAGGCTCATTACAGCTGAGGGATAATACTATTATATATATACATAGAAAGGCCGGCCCTCACTTATCTCTCTCAATTGATCGAGCACTCATATGTTCTTCTCTCAAAGGCCAAGATTGGTGGTTTTTAGTCCAAAAATTGAAGAACAGATGCGGGAATTGCTAAACGTGAAGGAGACCTCTGAGGAATTGCTAAAATGAAGGCCTACCTCCTGTCTATCTCCTAAGAATTGCAAAACGTGAAGGGGCTTAGGTTTTATTGTTGTAAGAAAACCTCAGAGCAACTTCAATACTTCATCCATTTGCTTCAAATACTATTAGATCTATATTTTGGTGCCATTTTGTGAGTCTTCATATCCTTCTTGTGCATTCTTATTACCATTATTTGTGTTAGATTTCTAAGATTACATTATTTTCCTCACAATTTTAGGAAAATTGAGTTCCAACCATTCTCTAGACTCTGTGAAGGTAAATTATGTGGGTTTGTGCTTAACATCAAAGATTGTATTTTTCGATTGGTTGAGGTTTAAGCTAACAACCTATGATTTTCATCTTTTTCCCGGTTGGTTGAGGTTAACTTCTCTGCTTTTTCTAGTTGGTTCAAGCCCCTGTTTTCATATGCAATCAGTAAATTTCTCCATCTAATCTAATCTTCCTTTTTTGTGCAGCTCAGCTACTCTGAATCTGTTGAGGGCGTTTGCAACTGGAGGATATGCTGCTATGCAGAGGATTACACGGTGGAACCTGGATTTCACAGAGCACAGCGAACAAGGTGATAGATACCGTGAACTAGCTCACCATGTAGACGAGGCTCTTTGTGAGAACCCGTAAATCCCCTAATAATTTTCCTAGGGTTTATTTCCTTTAATGGCATGTTTTCTGCATTTTCTGGCTTAGGAAAATTCTCCTGGTGAATTTTATGAGTAATTATAGTTTTAGATAATTTTTCTTGCATTGGAGAGTTTTTGAAAAATTAAGGATATATAACGGATGTGGGACCCACTAGTGCGAAAAGTTCGGAAAAATTCGGCCAATTAGGTTAAGTTTCGGATACTGGTTGAAATTTATCGGGTGTTAAGAGATAAGTAGAGGTTGAGATGTGATTGATGTGAGAGAGACTTAAAGGATAGAAATGCTTTAAATGTAGTGACAAGTGTCACTTGGTGAATGGTGGCACTTGTAGGACAACTATTCATTTTCTTGACTTTTTGACTAATTGCTTAAATATCTCAAAAATCACACAAAATTCATTCTTGTCTTCAACTTCTTGGCCGGCTCTCTCTCTAGGAAAAGAAAGAAAACTTCTCCAATTTTCAAGCTTCCAACTAGCTCAAATCCTCCAAAACAATTGCTTAAATTTGTTTCTACTCCATAAAATCCCTCCATTTGGTGCTAGTAAGTGATTTTGTGGAAGTGTTCAAGGAAGTTAAGGTGTCCTACAACTCTCCCTCTCTTGTGTTCTAGGTAAGTGGTGTTTGAACTTCCTCCTACACTTAATGAAGCTTAAGTTGTGCTTAGTGGTAGCTAAAGTGCTGAAATTTGTGGTTTATTTCTTGGTTTGAGATGAATTGGTGAAGTTTTTAATTTATTGGTGATTTTTCTGGTTTAATTTGATCAAGATGCTGTGGCTATCCATGATAATTGGAAATGGTATATAATGATTCTAGAAGGTGGAAAAAGTGGAAGATTACAAGTAATTTCTGTTTTAGAAGAAATCTGGAAAATTAGGGTTCTTTGGTTCTTCATTCTGTCCGAAATTTTAGGTCATAGATAGAGGCTGAATTGGCCTTAACGCAAAACATGAAAGTTGTAGGGAATGATATTTTATAGGTACCTACAAAATTTCAGGTCAATCGGAGTAGTGTAGAATGAGATAAGTCAAAATTACTATTGCTATTCTGGTTTTACCCGAAATTGGGATTTGCTTCTGTAATTGGTTGTTTTGGTCTGGATTGCTTCTGAATGAGTTGTTGAGACCTTCTGATGAAATTTAGCCCTGTTCCTTAGCTTTCAGCTGGTTTTGGAATTTCTGGATTTGGACTTGTAGAGTCTGAGTTATGATGTTTCCGCTAGAATGCGTTTTGGTGAATCTGTTTCACATTTTGATGTAGTATCTTGCATTTTTGACCTGTTTGCACTCAAAACTGGGTTGAGTGGCCTTCTGTGATGTTGTAGCCCTGTCTTTTAGCTTCGAAATGGTGGGTCTTATACCTTCATCCGATAATCATAGGGCATTTGGTGCCATTACCGCAAAAAGAAGTCAAAAAACTGTTTTTTCAGGGCCAAAGCTAAGTGCATTTCCGAATTTTCTGGTTTTCTCTAATGATTGTACATGCTTATGGAACCCTATTGGGGTCATATTTGGCATTGGTTTATGACTCGTTATCGAGTCTCCTTGTACCTGTTTGCATGTTTTAAGGCTTGCTTTCATTCCGGTCATTTCCTAGCTAACTTTTGTACTTGTACTACTTTGAGCCTAGTGAACGGATTTTGGGAAATGAGATGAATTTTGTGTGAGATGTTGGGACTGATTTGAGGAAATAATGAAGCCATGATGGCTGGAAAATAGGTAAAAACAAGGGATATGCTGCCGAAATTTTACTTGAAGGCTAGTTGGATTTACTTGTGATTTGAGCAAAGGGCTTTTGGGTTGTTTGCGCCTAGGTCTTCATGTTACCTTTTCGTTTCCAAGAAAATCATGTTTTCCACCCTTGCATTAGTATTTATTTGGCAAGGCGTACGATGTGTAGTCGAGCCTCACTTGTGCATTCCGTTTACTTGATTTTGGATATGAAACCTTCAATTAGTTTACTTTGATTATTTTAGGGTTTCTTGGCGATTAAGGCCAATCTAAAGTGAAAACTTTTGAAGTTGAGCCGGTGAGTGTACCACTCCCCTCCATTGCTGTTTAACTTGATTTCTGCTCTGCAATCTGTTTATTTGTTTAAGACGAGGGTGTACTTTATCACACTCGTTCTCTTGTCTGTTCATATGCCAATTTACTATGCAAAATTTGAATCTGTTATCTGTGTCTGCATCTGTTCGGATTTCTATGACCTATGAGCTCAATCCTGTGGTTAAGTTATTCGACTCGGGCCGGCAAGGGTCTGGACGATTAGATAACGAACTACGGTAGTCTGTTTGGGGATTTTGGGTATTGAGACCCTTGATTCTGGGTATACTCGAGTATTACCATTTTGTTCGTTTGAGATGAGCGGGCCCGGTAAAGGGGTGTTTGGTGGACGGAATTTGGTGTGAAGTGGGTCTACAGACGCGTTGGTTCTATATACGTTGACGGAGAGTCAACCGATTTGGATCAAGTACTACGCTGGAAATTTGGCTCCTGAGAGCCACTTGTATCCTTCCTATGTGAATCATTAGTTACTTTACTTTACATCTGGCATGTGTATCTGATTTGTTAAATGTGAAATGCCATGATTTTAATGCTATCTGTTTGGTACCTCATTGAGCGCAAGCTCACCCCATTCTGTTCCTTTTGTTTTCCTTACAGGAAAACAAACCCTTTTGGTCTGGATTTGACAAATGGCTGCCAAATTGAGCTAGTTGAACATATCTTTTGTATAGCTCATGTATTAAAACCCTAAGTGTACTTTTGGGGCGTTTTCTCTTTTGATTTGGCAAACCGTGTATATGTATTAACTTTGGAAATCTTTTGTATGTCATTTTGGATTGTAATCGCTAAAGTTCAGATGTGAATGTTTGCGTGCTCTTTCGGTTGGGTTCTAACGGGTCGGTTACTATCATGGCCGACTCCGGATTTCATTTTTCTTATTTTGGGTTATTTTGCCATTTTGACTTACTTACGCTCGTTGGTAAGTTCCGGAACGCATTAGATAGCTCTAATCTGCACCGTTAGTCCTGGCGAGAGTTGGGCAGGCAGTCCGCTAACCCCTTTGGTTCGCCTTAGAGGAAGGTGGGGCTGCCACACTCTTGGATTTATGGCTGCTGCTGGACTTACAATTGACCATCCAATCATGACGACCACCGAGTTCTGGACATTGCATGAGTGCTTGCTCCTACCATATGAACAGTCTGTTACTAGATTGGATTCCACATCTGGCTTGTACTACGATTGTTCAGCCCATTTCCTTTGGGTTGGTGAGCGAACTCGACGGTTGGATGGTGCTCATGTTGAGTTCCTGAGAGGAGTTGCTAATCCACTTGGGATTAAGGTAAGTGACAAGATGGATCCAAATGAGCTAGTCAAGCTCATTGAGATTTTGAATCCTCAGAACAAGCTAGGAAGAATCACCATCATCACCAGAATGGGGGCAGAGAACATGAGAGTGAAGCCTCCTCATTTGATCAGAGCTGTCCGAAGGGCAGGGCAAATTGTAACTTGGGTTAGTGATCCTATGCATGGAAACACCATCAAAGATCCTTGTGGTCTGTCGCGCCCCACTTTTTGAAAGGTGTAAGAGTAGTGTGTATGTGAACGTGTGTGAAAGTGAAAATAAAAGGCCGTGGGATTGTGAAATACGACGGTTTGGCCAAACAAAGTTTAAAAAAGGTTTTGAATGAAAATGGAGTCGCCACTTGGTATAGAGTTAGGGTGTACCAAGTCACCCAAAAAGTGATTTTTTGGAAAAGAAAAGTAAACAAACCCTTTTTAAAGAACTTTTAGGTCTACGTAACCAAAAAAATGGATCGGGGGTCACATTTGATAAGGGAGAAGGCAAAGGCAAAACCTAAGGTACTCCCTTACCCTAACGAAAGCTAGTTGCGTGAGTTAACCCCTTTTTTTCTAATTTTTTTTTACCCAAAGTATGTGTTGCATGTTGGATATGACTAATGGATATGAATGCAATCCTAAATCTAAAAATGTTTCTTATGAGGCTTTTTGGTCCCCAACCACATGAATTGTGATGGCCAATAAGGAAAGTCCTCATAGAGGTCGCGAATGATGCAAATGAAGACTCAAATATGAATGCAAGTGTGAAAATGTAAGAAAAAGTGCATGTGTGCAAATGTAAGAAGAGTGCATGTGTGTCAATTGAGAAAAATAAAGGTGTTTGTGTGCAAGTAGATGAAAATATAGTATAAAATATATAAGTGCAATTGGGTGCAATTTGTGAGGTAAAAAATAAATAAGTTATAGGAAGAAAGAGGTGAGAAAGTGTGGATTGAGAAAAGTATAAGTAATGAGAAAATGTGGATAAAAGAGTGAGGAGGTGATATGATAAAAATGAAAGTGTATGACCTTAAATGAATGCATCAAGTCGGGTACGAGAATGACACCTAACTTCATGACTTTAATTTTTCCTTTGATTAGAAGGAAGAACTAGCGTGCTAAGACTATTTTTGTAGCCACACTCGCTCGTTTCCCTTGTCGAAAGGGGACCCTCAAGCAAATGTACCCTATAACTAGTATGAAGATGCAAAACCTAAAATTAAGGGGAAAAGGTTAGAGGGGCATGCCAAATGCTAGAAAAACTAAGGAAAATGCATAAAATGTAGTGAAACATGCAAGTATGTACTAACGAGAGGGGACGGCCTATTGGGTCTAGCATTGGACTAGCCCTTTCTATGAATTCCTACTAGCGTTGGACTAGTGAAAAACGGGACAATGAGCCACAACTAGCGTTGGACTAGTGTGGTGACGTGCATTCATCCATCATATTCATCTACGACTATAGAAAGCAAGTAGACATGCAAATCATCTATAAACACGTAGCACATAACACTTAGCATGCTGGACTAAATGCAAGAGCCTGATATGTCGCACCCCACTTTTTGATTGATGTGTGTGTAGTGTGTGTGGTAGTGTGTGTGAGATATGTATGTGAACGTGTGAAAGTGAAAATAAAGGCCGTGGGATTGTGAAATGCGACGGTTTGGCCAAATAAAGTTCAAAAGGGTTTTTTTTTGTATGAAAAATGGAGTCGCCACTTGGTATAGAGTTAGGGTGTACCAAGTCACCAAAAAATGATTTTTGTTTTTTGAACGAAAAAGTAAATAAACCCTTTTAAAGAGCTTTTAGGTCTACGCAACCAAAGAAAGGGATCGGGGGTCACATTTGATAAGGGAGAAGGCAAAGGCAACACCTAAGGCACTCCCTTACCCTAGCCAAAGTTAGTTGCGTGACTTAGCCCCACTTTTCCTAATTTTTCTATCCAAGGTATGTATCGCATGTTGGATGAACTATATGAATGCACAAACATAAACCTAGGGGGACATGGGGGAAATTTCTCTTCAAAGGTTGAGTGGTGCCAATCACATTAATTGTGAAGCCCAATAATGATCCTTTGGAGAGGTCACACACAATCCTAAATGACGTAAAATGAGTGGAATGCATGCCATGTGAAAATGTGAGTTTGTGTGAAGTGAAAAAAGTAATAAAAATAATAGGATGTAAGCGGAGGTGTGCAAATGTATTTACAAGGTAAGGTGAGTAAAGAATGATGATGTGAAAATAACACAAAATGCATGTGTGCAAGTGATATGGTATAAAGTGTGAGTAGTTAAGTGAAAAACGTCCAAAAGTAGTGTGAAGTGAGAATGTGGAAAAAGGGATAGAATATAAAGTAGGAGTGTATGTGATAGTAAAAAAAATGCATGAACCCTAGAGGAATGCATCAAAACGGGAACGGGGACTCCTAACTTTGTGACTTTAATTTTCCCTTGGATTAGAAGGAAGAACTAGCGTGTTAAGGCTATTTTGTAGCCAAACTCGCTCGTTTTCCTTATCGAAAGGGGACTCTTCAAGCAAATGTACCCTATAACTAGCATGAGGTGCAAAAATCCTAAAATGAGGGGAAAAGGGATTCGAGGAGCATGCCAAATGATAAAACTAGAAAAATGCATGACATGTAGTGAACGTGCAAATATTCACTAACAAAAGGGGGATGGCCTATTGGGTCTAGCATTGGACTAGCCCTTTCTATGAATGAGCCACAACTAGCGTTGGACTAGTGTGGTGACGTTCATTCATCCATCACATTCATCCATGGCTATAGAAAGCAAGTAGACATGCCAAACGCTCATAAACACATAGCACATAACACTTAGCATGCTCGACTAGATGCAAGAGCCTAATAAAGCAAATTAACACATAGCAACAAAAGCAAGCAATCAAACTAATAAACCTATTACATTTGCTAGCTAGGCACATGTCTTCAATAGGTTTTCATCAAAAGCTCTCCAAGCCCTATCTATTACAAGCCAAGAGGTGTACACATACCCTATAATGAATAACTTAAATAAAAAGCAAAAAGTAAATAAAATAAAAGTAAGGAATTAAGGAAAGGCAAGGAAAGCGAAGTAGACATGCATATTCACATAACACGTAGGAGCACGTAGGAAAAATAAAATCAAGGAGATAGAGGTTACCTCCCTTGAGTTGTGAAATGAAGAGAATATTAGCTTCAAAACAATAAAAGGGTCAAGGCACCACTTTAATCAAAAAAATCACAAGAGACAAAAGTAAACATGAAATTGAATCAATTAAATCATGTAGACAACCTACATTCAAGAAGTCGAAAGAAGAAAGGACTTGATTGCACAAATTAACAAAGTTTGGAGGTCAAAATTAAAGAAAAATAAAGTTCAGGGACCTATTTGCAATTAATTAAGGACCGAATTGAAAGAAGTTGAAAATATCCAGGGCCACAATACAGCTAAGGAGAAATTCAGGGGCTGATTTGCAAAAAACGTTTTCTGGTTTCCTAATGGACCAAACCATTGGGCCATTTCTTTTATTTGTTTGGGCCAAAGCTTCCCAGCTCAATGGAAATTCAGAACAAAAAGGGAAGGGGCCATTTTATTTGTTCGTCTGGGCCGAACCCTTCCTAACCCAACCGAAAACCCAAGCAAAAACAGATGGGCTAGTTTAACTATTTTGGCCCAAAATTAGCCAACCAAACAGATGGGTCACGATTCTCTGGCCCAAACCAAAACCCAAAAATAAATTGAACCCTCTTACACAAACTCAGCCAAATATCATTAGCCAAACATAAGTTTAGGCCCAACAAGATAACAAATCAACTAAAATTATTTAAGCCACAATTATGACCTAAAAACAAGAATTAGTCTACCCCAAAAGACTACTTAAAAAGATTAAAGATGAGTAATATCTAAAAGGATGAAATAAATTCAACTCTTCCATTTTTGGGGTTCAAAAAACAATTCATATGAGGACTTATCTGAAGGATTGATAAAAGCTTTGAGGTCGAATTGTGAAGTTTTAAAACTTTGGGGTTAGATTACCAAGAAGCAGAATGGAAGGGCCACAACGGTCTTCTTCTCAAACATCAATTCGCCATTTTTGTTCTTATAACCAGAGCAAATCCGAAAAGAAACAGTTTTAATTCTGGCCCTTTATAATCAACACGAAAGTCACACAAATTCAATTCGAGTCCATTCAATCCCGAAACGTGAGAAATAGAGAAATGGAAGACAACAATTCAGCAAAGTTTCTTAAGCGTAAGGACGCGAATCGGCCAACTCAAACGGTTTCTCCACACGCAAATGTAAACAAGGCATCCTCCAATAAGAATTTTCAGCTCAGGCATTTCGTCGAACAGATTTGGAGTATTAGAAAATTCATTGATTCTTTGATGCATTTAAACTATAATTGACCCAGAAATTTGTCAGAGACTCAGAAATTCCAGTCCAATCAACATACAAAGCACGTGTATTCGAACAACCAACATGAAATTGAGACAACATGCTCACGGCATACCCTGGCAAACATACTCTAAAAACTTTCTGTCCGTTTGAATGAGGACTGAACTGAAAAGGAGAAAACTAACTTACAATGGCCTCTCAATGAGCTTCCCTGGCGGTGACGGTGGGTTCTGGTGGTGGTGGCTCCGGTTCTCGAGCAGGCGGCTGGTGGTGATAGCGGACAGCAGCGGCAGCAGACGCGAACTGGTGGATTCCGTTTGACAATCTCTTTTTCCAGATTTCTTTCTTCCTCGCTCAGACACCTTTTCTTCCCCTTTGTTTTTCAGCCTTTCTTTGGTTCTGTTTTTCTTTTTGCTCTGTTCCTCGAGCCCCCAAACCCCTCTCGGTCTTCCTCGGCCTTTCTATTTTAGCCGTAGCTCCTTCCCCATTTCTTCCGCTGCCTTGCCCAGTTTTTGCCCTCTGTTTCTTTTCTTTTTCTGTTTTGCTCCGCCCCCAAACCCAGACGTTGCAATCCTCTTCCCCCTGTTTCCTCTTTCACCCCCTTTTTTCCCTTCGCAGCCGTCCACCTCTGTTTTTTTGGTTGTCCGTTCCTTCTTGTTCTCAGCCCCCCTGTTTTCCCCTTGCGTTTTTGCTTTCTTTCCTCCTCTATCCCGTCAGTCGTCACCCTCTTCGTTTTACTCTGTTTTTGGTTTCCGTTGCCTAACCCGCCGCCTCCTACTGCCTTTCTTTTCCCTCTGTTTTTCTCTGTTCTGCCCAAGCCTTTGCCCTCCTTGCTCTGCTTTTT